CGTTTGTCACGTAAATTGAGTGGAGAATGCTGTCGATCGCGAATCAGGTAGTTCTTTCGTGTTCGGAGGCGAAAAGGTAGTGGAACCGAAGCCGGATCAAAGCCCGCGCGAAAATAGTCTATCGATCGCGAGAACCACGCGTGTTCGCAAAACCAGATGAGTTCGGCTGTCGAAATCTGATCCGTTTATTTGCTGCGGTTTACAGGAGTTGTCGTCGCGCGAAAATAATAAATTAGCTAAGTTTTTTAAGAGTCATATCGTAGGCGATCCGGATAAACCGGGAGCGACCAATTTAACCGAACATAAAATTGATGTCGGCGGGCATAATCCGGTTAAACAACGATATTATCCCGTTTCGCTAAAGATTCAGGAAGCGATCTACGCGGAAGTTGACAAAATGTTAGCGGCAGGAATAATCGAACCGTCTAAAAGCGAATGGTCTATTCCGGTCGTAATGATAAAGAAACCTAACGGAAGCTATCGATTTTGCCTCGATTTTAGGAAATTGAACAGCGTCTCGAAGAAGGATGCGTACCCATTACCGTACATGAACGCAATCCTTGATAAACTGAGATCAGCCAGTTATATTTCGACTATCGATTTGAGCCAAGCATATTTCCAGATTCCGCTTGAGAAAAACAGTCGCGAATTAACGGCATTTACCGTACCGGGTAAAGGGTTATTCCATTTCACCCGAATGCCGTATGGCCTCACCGGTGCCCCCGTGACATTTCAACGTTTACTTGACAGGCTTATAGGCCCGGAAATGGAACCTCATGCTTTCGCCTACTTAGACGATATTGTTGTCGTAACGCGTACTTTTGAAGAACACTTGACTTGGTTAAAACGCGTATTAGATCGAATTAGGGAGGCGGGTCTAATGATAAATCCGGAAAAGAGTAAATTTTGCCGATCTCAAGTGAAGTATCTCGGATTTCTAATACAACAAGAAAGGCTTAAAGTTGACCCTGACAAGACCGCGTCAATTGTCGAATATCCACAACCGAAGAATATCAAGCAATTACGACGATTTATTGGCATGGCGTCATGGTATCGCCGATTTATACCGCAATGTGCAACGCGTTTAGAACCGCTAACTCGTCTCCTTCGGAAGAATTTCTCTTGGGAGTGGGGGGATGAACAAAAATCTGCATTCGAGGCAATTAAATCGTGCATTACGTCGCCGCCTACGCTGTCGTGTTCGAATTTCGAATTGCCGTTTACGCTGCAAACGGACGCTAGTTCGGTTGGTTTGGGAGCCGTTTTGACTCAAGAATCAGAAGGCGTAGAACACGTGATCGCGTTCGCGAGTAGGGCGCTGTCGGAAGCCGAGAAAAAGTACTCTACGACCGAACAAGAATGTCTGGCTGTCGTATGGTCGATTAAAAAGTTTAGGCCGTATCTCGAAGGATACAGTTTTAAAGTCATCACGGACCATAGCAGCCTACGATGGCTGCACAATTTAAAGAATCCTACTGGTCGTTTAGCGCGATGAGCTCTAGAACTGTTAGAATACGACTACGCGATCGAACATCGGAAAGGAGCATTACATCACGTTCCTGACGCGTTGTCGCGTATTTACGAGACTACCGACGAATTATGTGCTGTCGCTATTACCGGAGACACTTGGTATGATGCACGCGTTCGAAACGTGGAAAATGAACCGCGTAAAAACTCGGGTTGGAAAATTGAGAACGACCAACTCTATTTTCGTAAACCGAACGCTGTCGTATCGCAAGTTGTCGACGATCTCGAACAATGGAAGCTCGTACTTCCTAAAGAAGCGCGCGCGAACGTTATTAACGAGGCCCGCGATGTTCCGCAATCGGGTCATTTAGGAGTAGAGAAAACATATCAGCGTGTAGCGACGCGATATTTTTGGCCGCGTATGTTCAAAGAGATCGCCAACTATGTTAGACATTGTGACGTTTGCCAAAGGATGAAAGTAGAGCAGAATTTGCCGATGGGTTTAATGGGACGCCGAGCTGTCGAAATTCCGTGGACGGTAGTAGCCGCGGATATTATGGGTCCGTTTCCGCCGAGTAAAAGCGGTAACGCGTACATTCTAGTAATTTAGGATTTATTCACCAAATGGATGGAATGTTGCCCGCTTCGGAAAGCAACGGACAAAAAGATCCGCGAACAATTAAATGAGCTAATCGTGAATCGTTGGGGCGCGCCGCGTGTATTATTAACCGACAACGGCACCGAATTTATAAATCGCGAATTGCAGGCGTTTGCAGACGAACACGGCATAGTTCACTCTACGGTACCTCCGTACCATCCGCAGGCTAATCCTGTGGAGCGAGTTAATAGAATACTAAAGACTATGATTACGGCTTTTCTCGAGAACGATCACCGCGAATGGGATGTTCACTTGGCTGAATTCAGATTTGTTTACAATACGACGTACCATACTTCGTTACAAGCTACTCCAGCGTTTTTGAATGTTGACAGAGAGCCGCCACCGGTTAACACCGTGCGTGGGAGGCCGGCTGTCGAAGTCGCGGAGAAATCGAATCCCGCGAATTGGAAAGAGCGCATGGAGCGAATTCTGGCTTTACGGAATTAGGTAGTGGAAAATTTAGAGGCTGCGCATAGCAAACAGGCGCACTATTACAATTTGCGAAGTCGAGATCACCGTTTTGCGATAGGCGATCAAATTCTGAAGCGACAGCATGTGCTGTCGTCAGCCGCGCACAATATCTCAGCGAAATTAGCAACTAAGTTTCACGGTCCGTTTGTCGTCGCGAAAATCTTATCACCAGTAGTATACGAATTGCATGACAGCGCGCATAGATCAGTAGGCAAAGTGCACATCAAGGATATGAAATTATATGTGGTTTCACCTATTCCCCCAGGCAACTAACCTAATAGCAATAGCAGGCAGGATGTCGCGCGAATTCCGCGCTAGGTACCAGGAGGTAATTGATGCTGTCGACGAGCTGCGCCCTGGGTTTTGGACGGCGCTAGCCGACGAGGTGAGACGCGAGCTGGAGAGACGCGTCACCACCCGCGGCGCCGTAGTCCGCGAGTTCCCGGTGCAAAGTGAGGCCGCGATACAGGCCGTAGTCGCCACGCGGGCAAGCACTCAGCGAGATATTAGGGCCCGCAACGAGGTCGCAGTACAAGTGACCCCGGAGGATCCCGAGCCGGACTCTACGTCCCCTGAGGCTTGGGGAAGATCAGAAGGAGAGTCCTCCTGGAGCAGCCCGCGGGAGAGGAAGGCCTCCCTCACCGCGTTAGATTGGCCGAGACCCCCTGCCGCACCTCCTTCACCGCTGTCGTCGAGCCCGCCGGAGGGCTGTTGGAACTGCGGTTCCCACAGGCACGGGAGTGCCCCGGGAAGAGAGGAGGCTATATTACTTCCGCTGCGGCCAACCGGGGGTGACCGTAAAAACCTGTCCGCACTGTCGCGCCGGATGGCTAGCGCAGGGCCCCTACAAGGAAGGAGTGGGCCATCCTTCAGGGTCCGGATCCTCCGCGTGGCCGACGAACAAGGAGCAACCTCCGCCCCAGGCCCTATTAGCTGTCGCCTGCCGCCCTTAGTTAGGACGTAGAGTTCTTCATTTTTTTTATTTATTTTTTTTTTTCTCTTTCTTTTCCTCTCCCGAGGTATGATGTTTGTCGCCCTCTGAGTAGCTGTCGTTTTCGTGAACCAACGATTTTGTAATAAATGTATCTAGTCTATCTGGTTTGGTTTTTTTTTGGTTTTCCTGTCCTATAGTACCGTAAACCCTTTTAATTATCATTAGCGTGTCGCGCCGCGAGCGTCGTTCTCAAGGACTCGAATTATCGGGACCGCGAACCCCGTGAGAGACGATCTCGCGAACTGAAAGCAAGAACGGCGATAGCCGACTGCTTGTCGTGGCCTCTAGTAGAGAAAGGTTTCGGAGATTTTTTGTGTATGTTCGTGTCTTCCTCGGCTCCGGGGATTTTGGTCGCCCGAACGTATGCGAGTAGGCGCAGATACCGTTCAATTAGTGGCTGTGGATGACCGAAGCCGATACGTTCTCTCTTGGCATGAGGGGGTGTGACGTTGCCGTCCTTTAAAGCGTCCATCCGCCCCGAGATTTTACGGGGCGCGGGCCGAGCGGCCGCGCCAGAATCAACCTCGAGAGAGCGTTATCCAAAAATCCCCGGAGAGACGAGCGCTATCGTTAGTTTGTTAAGAATTTTATTAATTGTATCGAATTTTTGTTTGTTTGTCAAAACGACAACGGGCACCTCGCCGGAGAAGATCTGGAGGACCGGAAGCCCATCAAGGAAGATTGCAGCAAGACGCTGAACGACAGCGAACGGAGGAGATAATAGCGCTTGAAAGGACGATACCAGGGGAATTCGCCCGCGTTCCAGGGAGGAGGACGGAAGTCCGATCAACGCTACCCTCCGAGGAGGACCCACGACAGCGGAGCCTCCAACGGGCTCTTGTACCGGGGCCCGCGACAGCAATTTAACAATTCAAATCGAATTAATTGCGCGCGAATCGCTAAAGCGCCGCGGATCTCGCGAGGCGCTAGGACCTCTCGCGTGCCGTATCCTGATTGGCCGCGGGGCTGCGCACTCTACTAAGCGGTCATTGACGCCGCTATCGACCCCGGGCCGCAAGATCCCAGGATCATTCTGGTGCGGACGCTCGTTAACACGTTGACTGCCAGACGCATTTTCCATGGTTTGCCCAAGGCGCCGACGTGAACTTTTCATTATGCGATGCATATTATGTTGAAATATTATTTGCAGCAAATCAAATGAGTTATAAAATCATGCTTGAAGCATTTTTCGTGATGGGGGTCACCGGTGACTCCCACGGCGTTGTAGACAATTATTACGATTGTCCTTTTTTCAAACAATCGTGCTTCGGTTGCTAAGTGATTACTCTTATTATTTAGTCTTATTCAGTGCGTTCTAAACAAGTAAGTGCGTTTGTTATATTTTTTCACTCTACATACGTTTTTGCATTTTATATCTTTTATTCAATTTTTTAATTAGCCCTTAAAAATATGGCTTCAAATGAAGATTATTCATCAAGTACATCATCTGACGGTGCAGTTTTACAAAGACCTTCAAAAATACTGCGACTGCAATCAGACAGCGAGAAAAGTTCATTGAGTAGTTCATCGGATATGATAAGAGCTTCTACGGTACGTCGGCGCCGAATTGAGTCTGACAGTGAAACTGAAGATAGCGATAACAATGAAGATGATATACCAGAAGAGTTTGATGTGAATTGGAGTATTCCGTTAAGTAATAAAACCAACATCACATTTTCTGATTCGTCAGGTATCAACACATGTCAATCAGAAATTTTTGCTTGTACGGAACCACATGATTTTTATTCCCCCTTTTTGTTACTGATGAAATATTCGAAATTATTGCAAAACAAACGAACATCTATGCTACGCAAAGGAAATCAGAACTGCAATCGCATCGTTTAGATCAATGGTATGAAACAAATCCTAATGAAATAAAACGTTTCTTTGGTCTAATTATATGGATGGGATTAGTGCGATTACCGAAAATTGAGTTGTATTGGAGTAAATATGAAGGATATAACCTGACACTTCCACGCACAATTATGCCAAGAAATCGATTCGAATTGTTATTGCGGTTTGTTCATTTCAGCAATAATGAAGAAAATGATCCTAAAAATAGATTATCTAAAGTTGCTCCTATTATCAATCATTTGAACAGTAATTTTAAGAAATATTATAAACCAGATGAGATACTATGCGTGGATGAATCCTTAGTGCCATTTCGAGGCCGCATAGTATTTCGCCAATATATAAAACAAAAACGTCACAGATATGGCATTAAAGTTTTTAAATTATGTAGTGGGCCAGGATATACTTATTCATTTCGAATCTACACGGGCAAAGACGAAAATACAAATGAAATATCTGGAAATAAGTCGACTGAGATTGTAATGGCTCTTTGTCAAGATATTTTAGGCAAAGGCCACACTATCTGCACAGATAATTGGTACACAAGCGTTGACCTGGCGGAAAGATTAACTGATATGCGTACACATTTATTGGGTACCCTACGAAAAAGTCGGCGCGGCAATCCAAAAGAAGTAGTGGCCCAAAAATTAAAACGTGGAGATGTTATCGCGCGAGAAAATAAAAATGGAGTAACTATCTTAAAATGGAAAGATAAAAGAGATGTGTTGATGCTATCTACAAAACATTTAGCAGAAATGACAACTATACAGAAAAGAAACTATACAAAAGAAAAGCCAAAAATGGTAGTTGAATATAATTTAGGGAAATCTTCAGTCGATTTATCTGATTAAATGATTGCTTATACCTGCTCACCACTGCGTAGAACTATAAAATGGTACAAGAAACTGGCAATAGAACTTTTACTAAATACTTGTATTGTAAATTCAATAGTGTTATTCAAACAAGTAACCCGGAAAAATATTGCAATTCCTGATTTTAGGATGAAATTAGCAATGTATCTAATAAAATGCTCCGATAATGATTGTATTTCTCCAAAAAAACGTACAGAGCAGACCTCGTCATGAATTTAAAAAAATGCCGGGAAATGCACGAAATGTAAGGCGCTTTTGTAAGGCGTGCTATAACAAAAATTCAAAGCAGCTAGGAAGAACTGGAGCAAAGAATTCTACTAAAAAAGTGGTGACATATTGTTCCGATTGCGTTGATTCACCTTTTCTTTGCCTTGAGTGTTTCAATCTGACTCATCGCAATATGCACTGATAATATGTATATTTTCCATGTAGTAATAAAATTATTTTTGTATGTTCTATATTGCATTAATTTCTTCAAACCATTATAGTAACAATGGTATTATTGAAAAATTTATCAGTATCCATATTTACTATAATTATGTACTTTTATTATTTGTTGCGTCGCCGGTCACCGGTGGCCCCCACGGCGCTGTAGCCAAGTCGAGTGCCGGTCACCAGTGACCCCCATGGCAGTCAACGTGTTAAGTACAGTAAACTAGTTGTCTCGTTGTCGTGTGAGAGAATTTTCTGTTTGTCGCCGCTGCCGAGAGACCGAGTCGAGGACGAGGCCGAGGACCATCCCCTGCAGGAGGAAGCGTTATCGGTGAGGTTGCCCATCTTTCATTGTGAACCATTTCGTACGCGATTTTGTCCGCGTGCCGGCCGTTCTGCCGCCGTCGCCATCTTTTTCGTGTTTCGCGACCGCTCGAGCCGTTTGCCGAGACGGTGATATTTCGTGAATTTGTCGGGCGACCGGAAGCAAGCGACCGAGGAAGGACCCTCGTAACGTAGGCGTTAAATTGATAAGGCAACGTTCGTCTCTCTCCGGGTTTCGGGTGTTCTTTACGCGAAGCTATCGACCGTCGAATATCGACCGCGTGCGCGAAGGATCGCGAAAGCGAATACCGCCCGTGTTGTCGTACCGCTGTCGTCGCCGCGTAGAATATTCCGTGACGTATCTCAGGGCGATTTTTGATGTCGAATTGCGTGTATGTCGTCATTAATTGTCAAGAGTGCGTATGAGCGTTTTTAGTATTTTATTGTAGTGTGAGCGTGAAAGTATTTGCGTCATTGTCGCGCCTATTACGTCGTTGCATCGAGCGTAATAAAGGATCATAGAATATCTGCGTCTTCGCCATGTTTATTGCGCCCTCGAAGAGCGCGTGATAAACATTAATTTGTATCTGCCGAATTGGTTGCGGTGCGAGATAATCGCCCGAATATTGAGAGTAAAATTTGAGCGGTTTGCGCGGAAGAAAGAGGCGAGACATCGGCGGAGAAAATTCTCCGTCTGCCGTCGGCTATCGAAATTTGAGAATACAGTTCGCCTATCGCATACGTGATCCGTCTTCGCAAAAGTATTCAATATTTTCGGTTACTTATGTTGTCGAATTAGTAAGCTGTCGATTTGTTTCGCGAACTAGGAAATTGCGGGGAAAAGTCCGTTGCGATAAGTTGTCGATCTGGCTACCGAAATTACGCTATCGTTTGAATAATATCCGCGAATATTTTTGTGCCGAAAATCCTTAGTATTCCGTAAAGTCTCGCTCAGTCCTGCGAACTCCGACCATAAAAACGGGCTCGGATAAACAACCAGATTGTCGTAGCGCTCTCGTATTAGTTGTTAGTTTAGACGTTTCGTATTAGTTTAGACTTCGAGCAGGTATTTGCTCAGAATTCCGTTACATTATTCGTGTCTTGAATTAATAGTATTGTATTTTTCGCTTTCGTATGTCGTTCGAATTTATGATAAACCGTTTCTTGATTTGTATGATTCGTTCCCGTTTTTCGTGAAATTATAGCGAACCAATGTCTCTGTGAGGAATTGTTAATTTCAGTTAAGTTATCGCGTCTTACTGACGGCTGATTTATTGTTTAATATAGAGCCATTTCTTATTACTGTTTTGTTAATTATTCACTCGTACTGTTATTTTACTTTTCTAATAATAAACTTATTATCTTTCTTTGTTCAAATCGCGTAATTAATTTAAGTGTTCGTCTCGCTTGGTTGTCGATTGTCGTTTTGTCTGTCGTCTGTTAATTCCGTGAAGACTCGCATAATCAATTAAGTTTCTCTAATAACCCCTCCCCTCTACCATTAGGCGAGTTGGTCGGCCCGTGGCGAAGCAGACTGTCGTTTTTTTTTAACGTCTTTCGGCTTTTCGCGAAAACTGATGCGTGAAAGACCGCATCTGGCGCCCAGCTTTTCGATATATCGATACGGTCTCCGCTCCGCCGCGGCTCGCGCGAGAACGTCCTCCATTCCTGTTCCTCAGAACGCGAGTATAATAATTTCGTTATTTTTTTTGACGGTGTTTTCGCTCCCCCGCGCACGCTCCCGTCCAACATCTCGAGGAGTGTCGCGATGCATTTTGAATCTAATTGAAATAAACGTCGCAATATATACATATACAGGGTGTTTCATTTTAATCCGACCACCTAAATTTCTCGGAACCTAAGCAAGATAGAGAAAAATGTTTTAGACAAAAGTTGTATGGTTTCAAGGGGGACATAAGATGGTGTCATTAGTTTGATCTTGAAGAGTCACCTGAAGGACACGCGAAGGTCAGCTCCAACTTTTTAAATGGGACACCCTATATGCTTTTGCATATTCTTGTAGCTCATCTCAAGAGCTTTCCAAAACACTATAATTAAGTTAGTTTTCATTAAGTACTTTCCAAGTTATGAGGCTTGAAATCATTTTTTAATCAAGAGACACGGTAGCGTCTCGCGCCAAGTTCATGCGAAGCATTGCGCGGCACTCCGTGTATCTATACGCGAGTCGGACAGTTGAGAGTAACTTAGATTATCGGATTTCAATAACGGCTGAACGGATCGAATTCTTACTAGCCTTAATCGATAGAGCGAGTTTGAATTGTATAAAGAAAGTATCTTTATTTTTGCGCTGTGTGATCTATTAACGGAGATATCATAATGCAAACTCGAAATATGAAAATTTTTCAATTAAGAAACGTCTTTATCATCATCATGGTCGTCATCATCATGGTCGTCATCGACGCACATGTACACAACATAGAAAGAGAAAACATCCTTTTCCTACTCTCAACAGAAGATTGCGCTAGCGATGCTTTTCGATATTAATGACATGTGTCATATGTGTCATTAATGACATGTATCATTAACCGCATTTTGAGTAATAATAAAGTGCAAGTTATAAATAATAAATAATTAAATTATTAATTAAAAATTGGTAAGAGCCAGTACAGTATGATAATTGGAGCAAGGTAAATAAATATATATATCTATTTTACAAGCTAAATATAAATATAATATATTAATTATATATATATATGTATATATAATATATATGTACATATATATATATAATATATAATATATATACATATATATATATTGTGACGTGGCCGTCCCGTCGCGTCTATCCGCCCCGGCAATTTTGACGGGGCGCGAGCCGAGTGGCCGCGCAAAAGGTCAAGAGAGAGAGAGAGCTACCGTACTCCCCGGAGAGACGAGCGAATTGGTATAGTTGCGTATAATATTAATTGTTATTTTTTCTATTTTTATTTTGTATCGAGTTCGGCTAGAGGCACCTCACCACCGAAGAACAGGATAGAACAGCATCGCCGCTCCGCGACAGCTATAAACGACAGCCGAGGGAAATTCGGAAGAACGGAGGAGCCTGACTCCGAGAACCCGGCATCGGAAATCCGAACAGGAGAGAGCAGCATTGCCTCTCCTCGACAGCCGGGAACGACAGCCGATACGACAACCATCCTCCAAGAGAGGATCGGCGAGGGAAGGACCTCACCCGAGCCGAACAAAGGCCCGCGGCAGCGTTCAAGCTTGGAGCTATTTCGCGCGGGGCGCGATAATGCCTCGCGTGGCGCGCGAGGCGCCAGGACCTCGCGCGTGTCGGCCGCTAATTGGCCGGGGGTCCGCGCATTCCCCCCGCGCGGCCAACGACCCCGCTATCGACCCTGAATCGCGAGATCCAGGGATCACTTTGTCGCGGCCGCTCGACTGAAACAGTCAAAGGTATTGTTTTGTGCGCTTGAAAACCTCGCTGACGAGACGAAACACCGAGGACGAGGCCGAGGATCATCCCCGCAGACAGGAAGAGCTCCGTCGGTGAGGTTGCCCACGAATTATTGTGCACCGCGTAATTAATTGTGTCCGCTCGCCGGCCGTTCTATCGCCGTCGCCATTGCGGCGTTTATCGCGACCGCTTGAGCCTTCTGCCGAGTCGGTCGAATTTTGTGAATTTCGGGCGACCGGAGATAAGCGACCGAGGAAGCATGGACCTTTGCGACGGAAGTGCGTATCGTAGGGTAATTCTCGTCTCTCTCCGGGTGTCAGGGTGCGTAATACGCGTAGCATTTGACCGTTGGGTATCGACCGCGTGCGTCGTAAATCGCGAGCGATGCGTAGTTCGCACGGGCTGTCGTTTGGTTGTCGAAGCCGCGTCTCGCACCTCTGGAATATGTCTCAGAGCGAGTCTGTGGAACGTAATTGGTCGTGATTAATGAGTCTTCGTGTAGTATCATCGTCGTTCGTGAATATTGCGTGAAACTGCGTATTATTGTCGCGTCCATTGTGTGCGTGCGAGTTGTTCGCCTCGAAAAAAGAAACTTAATTCCTCGAAATCGTCGCGGCGTGCGGGTATCGCACGATTCTAAGTATCGATATCTGAGGTCAGGAAATTCCTGGCAAATATTGCGGCTATCGAAGGAGGCGCGGTGCGGGACGGTCGCCCGGCCTTCCTTATTGCCTTGAGACCGAGAAGATAATTAATTCTCACGCTGTTGAAGGTATCGGGGGTGTGACACGACATTGTCGCA